CCCAAAGGTCCCCACAGAGCAAGTACCTAATCCTGGCGTCGGAGCTTTAGCACGGGCGATTACTGGTGTGACCGACGCAGGTAGCGCGACCCCCAGGTCAGCCGGGAGGTGGTGCCTGTGGTGGGGACAAGGTGGGTTCACTTCAGGCCCAAGTTTGATTTGGGGCCAGGTGTAGCTCAGCCTAAATCTGCCAATTAGGCTAAACATGAGCACCTGGCTGGGCTTAAATGCTGCTTCTGGGGGGAGGAGAGGTGGCCAGCCTCACTTGCTGCTTGGTGAGCTTCTCTAGCCCTTCCTGAGGAATTGGAAGCTTGAAGGAGAGGAGCTCTAAATGGGAATCTGGTTTTGCAGGAGGTGAATTTTGGAGGCTCTGGCTGAAGTTCCTCTGTATCAGATTCGGGAGGCCCAGCTGTGCTGCTTTTGGGATCCTGTGGTTGGCAACATGCAGATAAACCAAGGTGGAAAGTGAGTAGCACAACATAATGTTGAAGTACAAATGCTATTTGAACTGGGGAGTTGGGGGGAACATAAAGCTGTGCAGTGGCTGCGTTCCTCTCTAATCGTGTTCTGGGGAGTGGGGAGCTAGGGGAGGCTGCCGGGAGAGGAGATGAAGGTGCGTGTGTTTGAGTTTTTGAAAAGACTCCTCACTTTGGGAAAGCAAAGGTCATCTAGAAAAAAAGCCTGAACTGAGGCCAAGAGCTAAGAAACGTGTGAAAGTAATGCAGGGTTTCCCCCCCTTCTTTAATTTCCATTTCTAGCTTGACCAGCAGCTAGAGCCCTTCCTCAGGTGGCCAGGGATCTAGAAGCCTTTGCCTTTCCCCAGAACAGAGACGGATAACAACAAATGGCTGTCTTGAAGAACTGAAGCTTTTGTTGGAGCAGCTCTCTGTTTTGTATCCCAATGTACGTGCTGAGATGACAACGCGATCAGAAGGTCCCTTGAGTGCTGGGAGGATGCAGTCGACACGAAGGCGGTGAAAAGTAGGGAGAAGAATTTACTTGTGTGAGCTGTTTAAGATGCCTGAGAGGTGGGCTGGGAGAGTGAGGGTGCTGCTTTGTTCGGTGCCTTTTTGCCGGCGCCGCAATTGTGTTAGCGCTGAGATCTGAATAGTTTTAATTTTACTCCTAATTTTATGCGCTGTGCACAGATCATAAAAATCAGTGATGTGGTTGCCCTGTGGAGATGAAGCTGCTTACCTGACGTGTACGGTGAATAACAATGAATTAAGTTGCACGTTTCAGAGTCTTTTATGCTGTTCTAGATAGATGAAGCTATGCCACGAAATGGTGGATTTCCTTAAGCTTTCTCTGTTTCTTAGCACCCGTGTTGTTAATTTTCCCATGACTTTCCCGTTTGTTTTTCTCAGCCTTTGGAAGCCAAATGCTCAGAGGTGAGTGCCCGGCGGCTGTCCATATTACTTGTGAAATGGGGAAAATCGTGACCCAGAAGTATGAAATTCGGCAGCTTCCTATGAGTGTGCTGAGGGGAGGTATGGTTATGGGGGGGGGGGGGTGTGTCTCTGAATTAAGGGGGGTGCCTGTGTTCCATTCCTGGGTGTAGTTCTGTGGGTGGCATGACTAACGAAGAGCCCTCCCAGGACAGGGGAAACGGAGGCAGAGGTCACGGGGCCTGTGTCTTCAGGAGTCATTTTTGTGGTCTGATACTAAGAAATGAGTGGTTGTCATGGTTACCGGCCTCCCCTCCCCGGTCTTGCCAAATGTCTTCTCGGGAGCCTCGGGCTCGGAGCAGGATTCAGGATTTCTCTCCTGTTGAGATCGCGCTCTGATCCAAGCACCTTGAATTTCAAACGTGCCTCCTTTGGCACGCTGGTGTGATGTTTATGCGTGCTTGTGTATCTGAAGAGCCTGTGGTGCTCCTGTCGGCTTCCTGATCCTTAAGAACAGGAGAGAAGTGAATGAAACAAAAGTCACCTGTGGATATACTGGGGGATGCAGATGTGTAGGGTGCCTGCGTTGGGCCTGTGGGGTCTCAGTTCACTCCACGTGGATCTGTCTTCTCTCTCATTCATGTTTTCTGTGTTCAAACCACAGCATGTCTAATTATGAAGTGACCTGAACCACAGAGGTCAGTCTTTGCAAACCTTTTGGCTTGAATCTGATCCTTTCCACACCCCCCCCTCTTTTTTTCCTCAGCGCCGGTAGAGGAAGCGTGAGGGGGAGAGAGGTGAACAGGTTAACAGGGAGTCTGTTTGCGTTGTTTTTTTGAGCTGAGTTTGGTTGGTGTTGCTTTAGAGAGTGAACCGAGCTCTGAAAAAGAGCTCGTGCGAGTCGTGCTGGAGTCCCCCGCGGTGAGGGGATGGCAGGGATCGCAGCGAGCCATCCTGGAGAAATTCTTGGAGCAGGAGGAAGGTGAAGAGTCTCAAAGGAAGCATGAGGTCATTTCCCTTTTAACATAGTACATTTCAGAGATATTTTAACAATTAATCAATATCTAAATCTGCAGCCCATTATAGGGCTTGGCAATGTGTTATTTTACAGTCTAACAAATGGGAGCCTGCCTGTGCTAATAGGTTGAATCCCTGGGCTGCAATAAAGGTTGCTATCACATGGCGAGTGATAACTTGTTCCTCCCTGCCTCTCTTGAGATGAGGTCAATTCTGTTTACCATTTATGGAAGATATTCTTCCAATTAAAATGACGAGGACGCAAGGAATCCACTTTTGCTTTCTTTATTTTCAGCTTTTAAAGTAATAGTCGTTACCAAAAATCTGGGAATGAGGGGCAGGGGAATCTCTCCGTGTAGGCAGCCAAGTGTTGCAACAGAGCTTCGGCTTCGGGCGCCGCGGCTGCCGCTCAGCCCCTCCGTAGCCCACGCTGGAACATCTGGTCCATCTCCTGATGGGAGGTCAGCCCGGGCAGCCGAGCCGGGTCCCGACTACCGCAGGAGCCCCTGGGCTCCGGGGGCTGGACAGCTGTGGCTGGTGTCCGGGGCAGGCAGCTCGAGAGGGGGAAGCGCTCGGGCTCGCGAGGTGGTGCTGGGAGGCGCAGGCTGCAAATCGGCCGTCCTCCATTCCCCTTCTACCTCCTGGATGGTTTGAGCCCCTCGGAGCAGGGTGCTGGGCTCGCGGGCTGCTCGGGCTTCACCGGCCCTCCTGTCAGGGTCTGCCCGTAAGGAGACCCTGCGGTTAGGGCAGCGATCCCATTCTACTTTGCTAGCTCTGTACCCGGTTGCACGGGCCCTGCTTATCTGGTTGAAAACAAGCTTGGGTCTCTCACCCTCCGGATCAACTAACCTGCCCATAACTTTGCAGGAAGATGCTCTTTTTTTTTTTTTTTTTTTTTTTTTGCACCCACCCCCTTCAATCTCCCAAAAAAACAGGTCATGCTTCTCGTAACTTCGGTCTGGAAGCTTATTTGGAGTAGTGGACAGTGAGCAGCTCCTGGCTGTGCTGTTAACTAACTTAGGCTCCTCCGGAGCTGGAGAGGGAATTGCTCGCTGCCTCTGCTTCAGGGGTTATCGGTGAACAGCGTCACAGGAGTGTAAAAGCATTAGTCATTGAGTTAGCATTAATAGGGCAATTATTATCTTAATAAAATGACTGATTATGACACTGAAGTTGTAGTTAAGGTTTAACAGCTGAGGCGACCTGACTGAATTGTATGTTTGTTAATCGCCGGTGAGGGTGTTCTATTTCACTGAGTGATGTTTATTTAACATGCAATAAGTGTCTTAGTGAATCTCTATTAAAGGCATATGTGGAAACCTTAATTTGAAGCGTTGCAGAAGAGAGCGAGACTGTTCAATTCATAAAATCCTGTTTAAACACTGTGAGCTCCAAAACGCAGCCAGTGCCAAAGCAAACTGTATCCTGTAAGCTCTGTGCCAGACGTCTCATGTGGGGTATACTTAAGGTCCAAAGAAAATAAGGTCTGAAGGGAACAGTTTGGCCATTGAATCTCCAATCCAGCCTATATAAAGGGGTTTCGTTTCCATTCAGGAAATACAAGCTTCTTCTAGATGGATCCCGTTCAAAGTGTGTTTGCTGAACAATTCTTCCCAGCAGCAGCAGCGATTCTCAGTAACACCTACGCCTGTGAGCAGAAACTAGATCTGATGGGAAGGTTTGGGAAACATCCTAAACCTCTGAGTTTCTGAGAGAGAAGAGACAGTGAATCAGTTAGAGGTGACTCTGGGTGTTTTGTGTGGCACCAGCCTGGTGCTGGGCACCCTAGCTATTCTGACGGTGTCCTGGGTCAGATGGGAGATGAAGCCTTTAGCCAAGGGGAGTTTGTCTTTCTTGTGTGTTCTGTGACTTGCTAGAGTGGTTTGTCACGCTCTGGGCGGGGCGCTCCAGGGTATTTGGGAGGCTGAGGCGGCATCCCCGGAGACCCTGCCTGCACTCTGAGCCTGGCCTGTTTCTTTCTGGGTGCCTCTGTTTGGTGGTTTGCAGGCAGATGCGCGTTCATTTTTGCCTGTGTTCAGAGACGTTTGGATGTGAACCAGGTGTGAACTGGCACCCTGGTGAACTCGGATAAGAGGCGGGATCCTTTAGTGCTGATTTGGCACTGAGCTAACGCAGCCACAGGACTTCCAGTTGGCTCAGATTTAGACCCAGCACATGTATAGACGTGACGCGGGCCATACCTTGAGCTTCTTTGAGTCCTGTGGCAATTCAGCTCCAAATCCAAAGCTATGAGCTCTGACGCCAACTTTCTGGGCCAGGACCAGGACGTGTGCTCAGCTTTCCTTCCACCTATCCGCAAACCCTTCCGCTGGGCGAGGGAGGGATGGGCAGCCCTGGCAGCCTCCACAGCGTGCGCTGTGTTCGCTTTGGGTGAAATGCAGTAATTGGAGAGAGACCAGCGCTTCAGGCTCCTGGGAGCTCTTGCCAGCCCTGCTCCGTTTCCTCGGGTGAGGAAACGTCATCGCTGTGAAACATACTTGCTGGGGTGAAGCCTTCTGCATGTCTGTGTGAGGTCATCTGCTGTAATAGTAATGTCTTGTGTGTGTGTTCTCGTTACAAAGGTGGTTCTGAAGTGTTGTCCTGTCTTAGAGAAGGGGCTGAGAGGATTGCCTGAGGCTCTTTGATGAGGCTGGCTGGCACAGAAGCTGTCTTCTGTCCAAGAGCGGCTCTTCAGATCCTGTACGGGCAAGACCTCTCCCTCATCCGTGGCTCCCGTTGGCTCTAGCTCCTGCTTTCCTTCGGTTGTGGTGTAAGGTATGGCTGAAACAGCCTTCCAGCTTGCTGCGTTCTCCTCGCTGCTCTGACCCCGTCCCTGGCCTCGGAGCGAGCAAGCCCAGCAGCAAGCAGCAGGGCGTGCTGCTCCGAGTCTGCAGCGGCTTTGCTTGGGGCGGGGAGCCTTGCTGAACGCATCCTAGCCGCTGCGTAGGGCCAGAGACCTTGCCACTCTTGGCTAGCAGTTTACCTTTCCTCGCTCGTAATCTCTTCAGGGAGGCCAGCCAAACAGGCCCATAGGCACGGTTGAAACCGGGGATAAATATTCCGAGTGGCTTCATCTATAGGAACAAGCGCGCGGGGGAGGGAATGAGTTCATCTCCTCCGTGCTCTTGGCCGCGGCAGGGCTGTTCCTATATTCCCCCGCGTGCCGCAGTGGGGTGATAAGCTGGTTGCAGGGAGAACGCTCTGTCCCTTCCCTGGAAGAAGAGATTCATCTCAACCTTCCTCCTGGGAGCAGTCCTTGGTAGGCAGCTGAAATTTTCCTTTTCCGCTCGTCCCATGACTGCTAGGGAATATCCAGTCCCTTGCATTGTCCAGAATAATTCCACTGTCCGGAGGATTAGTGTGTTTCGGTATCCGCAGGCTGGCTGTTTCCTTTCTTGCACTTTTTAGCTGCTTTCTCCCAAGTTGGTGCCTTCAGCCCTTAAAAATTGCTCTTGTTCTTTGTACAGCAGGTTATCGCAGCACAGCTTGCCTGCAGGAAGACAGCTAAACCGAAGCAAAAGGCATTTCTGCTCCTTCCCTGCCTCTGCCCCAGCCCCAATGAACGTGGCTGAAGTTGTGCCGTGGAACATGCAGCCCCTCTAAAACACCTCTGGTAACAGAACAAAAATGAAGTAAATCCCCACAACCCTGGTTTCAAAGGTGTCTTGATTTGGTATCTAAACTGATAGGCAGGCTTTCCAGTTTAATCAAATCCAAAAAAAAAAAAAACAAACCAAAAACAAAAAAAAAACCCAACCCACAAAAAATTACAAAAGTTTAACAGTAGCAAAAGTTATAACTACAATTTTTACTGTATACAGTTGTGCAAACAGTTGGGGTGAAACTGGTGTGAACCCGTGTGCAGCAAGTTGGATCAAGCTGTGCAAAAGGCACGTGGTGAAAGGTGGCATGATACCTTGTCACATTAAAGATGTCTCGGCTTTCTGACACAGAGATGTGGGTAGAAGGGTAAGTGGGAACTACGTTGGGGGGGAGCGTGGGGTGAGGTGCTGTTTCTGAGGGGGGAAGAATTTAATTTCTGATGGGAAGCGATTCGCGTTTCTTTCTTGCTGCTTTCTGTTCCCAGCTCAGACAACGCTTCTGTTCTCCACTGTGCTTGCCCAGGGCTATTGTATATAACTGTTTAAACAGTGTTTAAACAGCCGTAAGCCTGTTTATTTACTAAGGCTATAAATTATCTTGAAATCAGAATTCATCACCCTGCAAATACCTTGTTTTAACAGGCAGGCTGGCTCTCTGCTAGAATGACAATAGCAATAGACCTCTAGCTGATCGGCCAAGCCTCTCTGTCAAGGGCAAGTGTCCTTGCACGGGCAGTTGGTGCCTTCCAGAGATCCAGGCAGGCTCAGGGGGTTGATTTCTCTCCGCGGGTTTATCTGCTGATGTGTTGGGCAATGCAGCGGCCAGCGCGGGTCTCTGACGGATGATCCGCGTGCGCGAGGTATCTTACGCTTGCTGGGATTTGCTGGGAAACTAATGATCTGTCTAGTCTCGTATCTTCCAGGTGTTAGCAGCACTTGTCTCAAAAGAAAGCACGAGAGGCTGATATTAATCAAGGAATGAGCTTTCCTTAGCTTTGCTTCCTCACCCCAGCTAGTAAATAGGTAAGTCTGCTTCTGAAGCGCGTGGCTCTTAAACAACAACAAAATCAGCAGTATCCTGTTTGGTCTTACTGGGGTTGTTTCCTTAACTCTTAGTTTTTTCTGAGGCCTTGAACTTAGTAAGTAACTGGAAGAATTTGTCTGAAAACACCTCAACATCGCGCTTCCACTATGCGAAGCGTACATTCCTGGTCAGGTAACTTCTGTCCCAAATGTTTGGGCTTGGAGATTGGACCGGTCAAGATTAAAAGCCGCCGAGGCGGCTGCTGGGACCTCCTGGTCCTGTAGTTGTCCTGGCTCTCGCACAGGCTGTGGGTTTTCCTGGGGATGCTGAAGTTTCTTCTCTCGTTAGAAGCCGCTCCTCGCCTCGAACCGAGATGGGAAAGATCTGAGGTCATCCAACTTCTCCATTTTCCCCCTATGGGGGAAGGCTTGTTCCCTCCACTAGATTTTCCTGTACTGGGTCCAGTTTTAAGTGACTCAAGCAGCAGGGCTTTCATCGTTTCCCTTGGGAGCCTGGCAGATTTCTCACCATGAGAGATGTTTTCCTAATCCTCCACCTGATCTGTTCCCCTCCTTGATTCCAGCCCTGCCCTGGAAGAGTGACCAGTACAAAACGACGGTGGCTTAATGCTTGTCAAATTACTTGAGTACTGGTTAACTCTTTCTGGGTCACTTTGATACATGTCCTGAGTAAAAAAGCTTGTCAAAGGAGAATGTTGTGGAGCTGCTATGGTGTCGCTTGTCTTGAAGGCTGACAAGCACTGGTAGTGTAGGTATTGGGAGTACCAGGAGTTACGGGTTTGTGGAAGGTTTTCTTCTTCTATAGAATATAAGTATACCTGCAACTGGAGGAAGCTAGAAAGCTCACCCCTGAAATCTTGAACTACATGGCAAGATGAACATGTGGCAATTACTGTTTAGATTTTAGGATTTGCTTGTGCCTAGCACTTAGTCAAGAAGCTTGATTTTTTTTTTTTTTTTTTTTTTTTTTTTTTTTTTCCTTAAGGAGTTGAGGATTTTCCCATGGATTGCTTTCTTTGCTTATCCTGTCTGTGCTGCCAGTGCTGTGCAACCAGTAGCTTGACTGTAATGCTGAAGTAGTTCTTAAAATATCATCTGCTAAATAGATTGGTCATGATGGGATAAAGCCGTTTTCCATGAAAGATGAGTGGGATCAGACCTTGGATACACTATCAAATGGGAGCCCGCACAAGAATGGGGAAATAAATTTTTAAACCTTGGCGATGCAAGGAACAAAACTAGAAGCAAGTCCAGTGGTCCTAAGGTAACTGCAGAAATATTTAGGGCAGGGTGGGAAGTTGGTAGTGGTTAAGAGGCTTGTGGTAGCACAATGTTCATGTGATTTTTCTTTTTTTTTTTTTTTTTTGGTCGAGGGTCACTCGGAGCTGTTTCATGGTTTATCTACAATGAGCAGCAGGGTCGTCAGCCCTCGTTCTCTCCCCCTGGTTTGACCAGGCCCAGGGAGCGATGCTGTATTCGCGTGTCTGCCAGGGAGAGCGAGGGTGGTTAGTGGGTCTGGGCATCCCTCGGGGGAGAGAGGTTTCGGTGCTCGTGGCCCTGCTGGGGTGGGGGGCAAAGCCAAAGAACATGACTAATGGTAAAGAACCACCTTCCGCGCGGCCTGATTCACCCGATCCTTGCCCAGATTCAGTCTTTCCTCTAGGAATGTTTGATAATGCAGCGCGCACGGCTGAGATCACCCTTCTGGCAAGCGCCGGCCGTGGTATGAGACCCAGTCATCTGGCAGCACGTTGCTTACTGCAGTCTCCAAGGCAACCCTCCATGCTGTGCTCCTTTGGAAGGTCTGTGTATTCGTAAAGAAGCTGTCATCCTTCTTACTGTAACCGCAGCAGATGTGAAAGGTTTTACCTGTGCCAGTGACCTCTAGACCAGGACACCGCTGTTCTAAGGCGCGGTGCTGCCTTGGGGACAGCGTTTGCCGCCGAAGGACGCCGTCTGCCTGCTCCTCGTGTCACAAAATGCCTTTCTCTCCTGCTAGCTGCCCTCTCTGGGTGCTCCCCGAGCCCGTGGCTGTAGCCTTGAGGCGCTGGCGTGTGCCACGGAAAGAATTCATTCCAGATGAGGGGTCCCAAGGTGGATTTGCAGCACAAAAACACCGCGCTGCTCCTGGGAAGGAAGCAGCTGAGCTGCAGCTCAGGCTGTTGTGTCCCATAGTGGCTTCTCTGGATTTCTCTGGAGCAGAAGCTGCCAGTTGTATTGCTCTGGAGGAACAGCCACACTCCGCTGTAGGTGTTTAACCTGGCAGCTCGGAGGGGCCATTCGCTGCCTCCAGTGACCCAGCAAGAAGTCCTCTGGACTGCTTTGAGAGAGGCTGTAAATGGGGAAGGGTGGATGCTTTTTCTTCTGACTAAGCCCTCTAGAAACAACCTCTGTCAGTGCCATGCTGACCACTGCTAAAGCTCAGTCTGGAATTGCAAGGCTTGAGGTTTGTGTCCTGTCTCCTGGAGCTTACCGAGAGCCTGCTCTAACGTTTCCTTTTCAGGTTCATCTATTGGTAATAAGGAAATCGGGGTCTGGTGTTTTTTTTCTCACCAAGGGGATCGTACTTTGGGGTGAGAAAGGTAGGGGGAAAAACTCTATGTGCTCTTTGTGTGAAAGGACCCCCCTGCTAGACTATATGTGGGCCTGAGACCAGAGGACTCTGGGCAGCTTTGCTTAAAAATGGGCACTTCACATGCGTTCTTGATCTTGGGGTCATCGGTGTGCAGCGAGAGACTCCCATCTCTTTGGAGAAAGCCAAAGCCTCTAGCTCAGGGCAGCTGGAGTTAAAAGAGGCGACGGTGAGAGCCAGCTTAGCCAAAGCGTCTCGTGTTCCCTGTGGGTGACGGTGTGCTCCTGAATTATAGAAGCTTCTGTCATTCTTGTCCCCCCACCCGGGGGGGAAAGTGCTGGATCAGGTGCGAGCTCTAGTTCGCTGCGCGGGTGGTTTGCTTGTCCGCTCCGTGTCGAGCGGCAGCCGCTGGAAATCTGCTCCCCTGGAGCTTTCCTGCTGCCTTTCTGCCCCAAGGCTGTGCCCCTCAACCCCGGGCAGAGCCTCCCACCCAGCACCCCTCCATCCTTGGGCTTCCCCCGAGAGGTCTGCCAGCGGCACCAGGCAGCCGGGCCGCCGGCGTGTGCCTGCTCAGACGCTTTTCAGGAGCTCTGTGGCGGCTGCCATGTCTGCGAATAGCGTCACCTGAGGTTCCCCAAGGGATGGAGAGGAGAAAAGGTATTTTCTCTTGTTATCAGCGTGATGCCACAACGCTCGTGAGACAGGGGATTGGAGCTGGTTCGCCCAGTGCACCCGGGAGGGAGGGGGGAACCTGCCCCTTCCAGGCCGCGGAGCCCAGTTTAGCACCACAATCTAGACTGGAGTTGCTGGGCAGAGAAACCAAGGGGGGGGCTGAGGCATTTGGCACTTGCAGGGAGCCTTCAGCCACGATAAGATAAGAGTTTAAGTAACTGTGAGGTAGAAAGTCTGCCTAGTGGATTGAGATCATTGTTGTTGAGGGATGTTATGGAGACAATCCACTTACAATCTTGGCTGCTGTGCTGGATTTAATTTTTTCCCTTTTTTTTTTTTTTTTTTTTTTTTTTTTTTCCCTGCTCATCTCCCCATCAGCAAGCTGGGGAATACGTGTGGGAAACAAATCAGCAGACAGACAGTGGCATGTGAAGTGATTCTCCCTGCTGGCACAGATGTGATTGCAAAGCAGTAACACAAGTGGTGATTTGAAGGCCAAAGATAACTTGCTGCTTTCTTGCCTTGCAAGCCCTAAAATGGTTTGGAGGAAGGAGGCGAGAACCTGAGCCTACTGGTTTGGGAGGGATGTTGGATGCTGCACAGCTGCTTTTTTATCTAATTGCTTTCTCTGAAGCTCAAAGGTAGCGGGGCCAGGCCGGCGCTACAGCACGTGGTGGCGTGAACTGGTGCTTTACTGGTGGGCAGGCAGGTGTGTTTGTGTGAAAGGCTGTTGTGTCCCGGATAAAACAATCCCTAAAATGTCTGTAGAGGTCCTCCCCGTTCTTCAGCTCTCCTTGGGCAGCACGCGGGCTCTCCATCCCCACGGGGTTCGCTGGGCACGAAGGGAGCGAGGTGTCCCCCCTAAAACTTGCCGTGCTCAGCCGTAGGAGTGAGCAAACACCTGGTAGAAAGGGTGTGAAGCAGGACACGACGCAGTAGGGCTGGGGTCTGTGAGCACGAAGGAGATCTGCTGGTAGAAGGGCCAGCCAAGAGCCGGTAAGGGAGCGCACATCGACGCCTGGGGCCAGCCAGGCAGAAGGACAGGAGGCAGGGGAGCAGCCGAGAGGGGAAGGAGAGCCGGCCTGAGATCCGGGGCCGGGATCTGTGGAGCTGCTGTGCCCACGGAGGGTGGTGAGGAGCACAAAAAGAACATTTCTGGACGGCCTGCCCTCCGCGGCGCGTCAGCCTGCGGCCCTGCAGGGTGTCTCTGAGCGAGACTGAGCCTCGTCTGTAGCAAACTGACATCTTTTTAGCTGGAAAAGAGTAGGAGGAAGCGCTTCGTGTGCCCTGGGTCCAATCTTTTTTAGACCCCAAGAGGGCTTTTTAAGCACCCGGGACTGCCGTGGGTGTGGAACGGCCTGAGCAGCACGCGGCATCCGAAAGAGAAGGGCTGTGGGGCAGGATGGGGTGCAGAGGCTGTGCACGTCCCCGGGCTGCCCCGCGGGGCCAGGCTGTGCGAGCAGCCTCGCCAAGCGATTGTGTGGGATGTTTTCCTTTGATTCATCAGCTGTGATTCCTCCCGAAGCCCTGGCATGCTTTCCTGGTGGTTTGCCCTCTTGCAAGTCATCCGTTCCTTTTTGGGACCGGCCGCTCGGGGTGCTGACCTCCAGGCAGCCTTGCCTGGGTTCACTTCCAGGGGGATGCAGCCTTTCCTTTCCCCCTCTGCCCCCGTAGGTACCCTGATGGCTCCCAGCAGCGTGAAATCCGCTCGGCTCCCTCTCCCCTGACCCCGTTCTTTGTGTTGGCTTCCTGGGGTGAGAGGTTGCCCCCAACGATTGCATTGGGTTCCCCCCCATCTCTTTACTTTTCTCACAGTTTCTAAGACGACCGGCGCGGTGAGCCACAAATATCAGACCCTCTTGTATTTTGTGTGCCTGGTGGACGAGTCTGACTCTGCTCCACCTCCAAGCTGCTGCCGGATTATACAAACCCCTCGTTCTGCCACTTCTCGGGGTGACTGTGGAGTTTTCCATCCCCGGTTCGGCAGCGTTTTGCCCCCTCCCAGCCCTGAGCACAGACTGGGACTGGGTTCGTGCTGCCGAAATCCCGCGGTACCAGAAATGTCCCGCAGCAAACCGAAACGCGGCTTTTGGCGTCTGACAACTGATTCACTTCAACCTGACGCAACCGGAGGACTCTTTCCTCCGGGGCAGGGCGGGGGGAAGAGCTTGGGAACTGCTGGTGGGCTGAGGGGCGGGGGAAAACTACCTAGCAGGCTGCTGGCCATCAGTGAACTCTCAGACTTGGACCTTTAACCTGAGGGATGGGACTTTCCAGGCTGAAAAGCGGCGTTGCTTTTCCCCCAGGGTACCTCGCCGAGGCACCTTGTAGGCTCGGCCAGCTGCCTGGCTCCATCCAGCGCTGCCTACGCTTGTTTCCCTTCCCTGCCCACTCGGTCTTTCTTTCTCCTCTTGGCTCCCTCCTCTCCGACCTCCGGGTGAGGGGTCTGGGGCTTGCAGCCTGCAAGACCTGCCCTTTCCCCGCTTCCCTGGACCTTCTTGGTGATGCTTCAGGAGCTCTTGTGGCTTGGCCAAGAGAGACCTCTAGTGGGGTCGGAGCTCAGGGACCTGGCTTTTTTTCTTTTATTATTTATTTCTTGTGGGTTTGGTTTTCTTGGTTGTTTTTTTTTTTTTTTTTTTTTAATCCTTACAAAGGGCTGGTTCCTGTAGGAGCAGGAGCTGAGGTTTCCGAGTAGTCCTCCTGTACCGATGGCCTCGGGGCCAAGTGGACCTTTTGTGGGCCAGTTCCCCGGGGGGTTTCTCTCTCGCCTGGTGCTGGGTGAATCCCGGTTGGGGCTCCTGGTTCCCCCCGACACTCTGGAGGTGGCTCCCTTCCGACAAGGAGGTGTTTTCTGTCCTAATCCTGTGACACGAGAAGGTGTGTTGGGAGTCTAGTGGGTCACCACCTGGTTGCTGAAGAGAAAGAGTCAAGGATCTGTGGTCTGGATGGATCCAGGCCTCTGAGAGCCCCCCCCTGCCCCTTGCGTGTCTCCCAGCTTCCCCCAGGCAAGGATAATCTTTAACTTAATGTTTTGTCTCTTGCTGAAATCCTGCTCTTGGCACTCCTCCTCCTCTTCTCGCTCTAATAGGCCACAAGAAGCCAGGGGTAGCAGCAGGGAGGAAAGAACGTGAGGAGAAAGATTTCTGTGTTCTCATGCGAGGCTGGGGAATGGACGGGGTTTGTCTGGGGGAGAAATCACAAATCCCACCTGCCTCACCCCCGGAGGCCAGAGCCTGCAGGTCTCTGCTCCGGCGAGGTGCCTCCTAGGAGGAAGCAGAGAGGTCTTGGGGTTTGTTTTTTTTTTTTTTTTTTCCTAGTTAGTATGACAGTGGAGGGAAGCCCCAGGCAGGTTGAGGGGAGCTGTTCCTGCACCGTGGGGTTTGGGTAGAGGGGGAGAAACAGGGGGTGAGCGGGAAGGCTTACAGCGAGGGGCTGCTGCCAGGAAGGAGGACATGGGACCCTCTTAGGAAAATACCTTTCCCTTCAGTCTCTGCGCACCCTTCCTGGGGCTCCTGCGTGTCATCTGCCAGCACCCAGGAGGAGGACCGGGTGCTGCTGGCAAGCCAGAGCTCTCTGCCGCTTCATGACTTCTCTCCTGACTCTTCTACAAGCTGGCGGGGAGCGGCTGCGGGTTTTAGGCACCCCCAAGATTGAACTTGCTCTAGCTGGGAGTCGCAGCTCCGTGTTGGTACCTACCAGGCCTCGGGAGATGGGGAGTAGAGAAGCTGATCAAGGAGCGATCCGAAGCAGCTATCGCCCTGCTCGTAAAGCAGCGAGTCCCTGCAAAGCTTTGGGGGTAGGGGGGGTCACTGTAATACTGATTTCCTCCTTTTTTCCAGGGAGAATTGCACTCACGCCTTTCTCTTTACAAGAGAAATACTCCAGCCAGGGGGGTTATCAAACCCCGGAGGCGGCTTTGAGGGCACTGGCCTTTCTCTGACAAGAGGAAGGTGACGCTGGAGTCGCGGCTGAGCCATCCGTTAATGTGCTTGGCTCTTCTCCCATCGGCTTCTTCGCTCTCCCCTGTGCCAGACCGGGGCAACCCTCTGGACCGCAATCCAAACGAGACTCCTCTTGAGTTACCGGCACAGTAAACACCCGTCCGAAGCGATCCCGAGAGCCAACGTGGTGCTGTGGTCTCTGCTCGCCTCCCCCCCCCCCGGTGCTTCGGATGACGTTACGGGGGGCTCTGCGATCCTCCCTCTCGAGTCGGGGTGACCATCACGAGCCCTGCGGGAGGAGGGAGCCCCTTCATCCCGGGGTCAGCGAGAGGTCGCTCGGGGCAGAAGCGAGTGCGGTCTTTCCAGGTAATCGGACCCCGGTGACGTGTCTGTGTTTGGGGTGTAAAGGCAAGATGCTGGCAAAAGCAAGGATGAGTTTGATGCCTGAGCCAAAAAGGCTTTTAAGAAATCCCCACCCAATAATTCGGAGGCTAGAACATTTAGGGCTGAGGGTGATGCTGGGATTTTTGTTCCGTTTTCTCCTCCCATCATCTTACTTACAGAGTTCCTGGGCGGTTGGCTGGGGGAAGGACCTTTTATCCCCCGGAGGTGGGTCAGATGGGGCTGGCTGTGATATTTTGCTAGTGAGGATGTGTGGGGCACGGCCCACGGGGCCTGGAGTCATCCAGGGAGGAACTGGTATCCCCAAATCTGCCACGAGATGGGGCGGCTGGGGTGGCAGCGTGCAGCCCCCGTGGCTCCAAGCTGAGACGGGGAGGTTTTGGGCTGAATTCAGGAGGCCAGGCCAGTGGTGAGGGACTCCAGGGGCTGTAGCGCCATGGCTGGAGGTGCCTGACTGAGGATATCAGCCCCCATCCTTTACCAGGCCCTCTTGAAAATAATTTTGGGGTGACTGCACCGGAAAACACGTTTCTCTCCCCACCGCGGGGATGCCCTGGCTCCGGGCAGGGTCGCATCGACGTGCCCACAGTAAATACTTCTCTTTATGGTGCTGCAGCGTTGTGTAAGCACTAGAGCTAAAAATGTTTCTTAACTCTGGTTCTCGGCAGAGATGGCGGAGGCACAGCCCGTCCTCCGTCCAGCCCTCACTGCCCCGCTCAGGCAGAGGAACCGAGGCAGCCAGCGCTCAAGGGTGAGATTGCAAAGCAGTGAAAATCCTCCCGTCTCCAGGAGGAAGCAGCTGGCAGGCTCAGACCTGCCCTGAGCTGCACAAAACCAGCTGCTGCACCATGTGTTTGGGCTGGTTTTTTTGGATGTGGGTTTGGTTGGTTTGTTGTTTTTTTTTTTTTTTTTTTTGATTCTGCTTCTTTCCTAGGGCCTGTTTGCCTGCACTTGGAGGGAAGAGCAGCACAAGCCCCTGCCTGTCTGATGCCAAGCTGGAGGGTGAGTCTGCTGGGGAAAAACTGCTCAGTGGCGGGGGGCTCAGCTTTAGTCCTGGACTTCACTGGACTCTGGAAACACTGGAGCCTGGCTCTTTTCTTACAGCTGCCCAAAAGAACTGGATGAAGCAGCTGTGCAGGGGCTGGGTACGGGGTTCAAGTGTTTTACTTGGAGGAGCTCAGCTCCCCCTGTAGCACTGGGGATCTGTGCTGCAGGTTTCCCAGGTCAGGAACGCTTGTGCAGAAGCTCATACAGAACCACAGAGGCAGACTATTAAAAAATATCCCGGTTTATTAGAGCGTTTCCACTTCATATAGTGTTTTACAAAACAATGTATTTACAGGCAAGGAGGGGGGGCTAACTCAACCGGAGTGTGCTCTTCTAGGGCAAGGAACAGGCTCCACAGGGGAAAAAAAAAAAAAAAAAAAAAAGAAATCAAATCAGCACATTCACAAGTCACATTGTTGCATTTTTCTTTACAACAGTAAGAAGGGTTGGAGACCCTTGTCTGGCACAGCAAACCCGTGTTGGTGTTGCGGGGGACAAAGGTGCAGGAGGGGAAGCTGCTGAGCGCAGGGTGGCGATGCCGATCGGCCCAGCAGCCCCGGGGGGAGCGACACCACCTTTCAGCCCCATTTCCCTCTTTCAGCCCCAGATTCTGGGTGTCCAGAAGCCGGCTGGGACAGAGGACAGGAGGAAGAGGCCGGGGCGCAGGACCAGACGCAGGGAAGGAGCCTGAAGGGGATCCCCCCAAATCATGGTAAGAACTCCTTTCCCCCCTCTCCCCACGCATGAAGCCCAGAGAGAAAGGGCTTGGAAAACACACACAGGGGAAAAAATATATTCTGTAAAGCTTGTTTTTAAACCTGTCTCCATAAAATTGGTGGGTTTAGAGGCAATCTTTTTATTATTTTCATATATAGCTTGAACGACTGCTCTGTCAAGTTGAGAGCTGCGCTAGCTTACCCACAAAGGGAGATTTCCTATGCTCCAAACTTTGTTTTTATTATTTTTTTTAAAACTTTTGAGAGGCGAGAACGCTAAGGGCTAAACTAAACCCCCAGCTCTGGTTGTTCCGTACGCGCGGGGCGTCCCAGGCGCTTGCGGCGAGGTAGAGGGAAGGTCGAAGTTCACAGTAGCGGCTGCTGGGAGGGAAGGCTGAGCGCCCCGGGCCGAGGTGGGGGCCTCCACGAGTGGCTCTAGAGCCCCGTCTGCTCTGTGATCCAGGGGCGCAGGCTGGTGAGGCGGCTGTACACCCCGGGCTTGTTCCTCTGGGCGCAGCCGTCGCCCCAGCTCACGACGCCGGCCAGGAACATGCGAGTGCTGGGCTCCACGCTGACCAGGGGGCCCCCGGAGTCGCCCTGCCCAGAACCAAACACCAGGGTTAGGGATGTGATCGTTTTGTCTTACCGCAAAAAATCAGTCTCGATAAAACAACCCTGTAATGGAGGCGGCTGACTGGGTGAATCCCTGAATCAAGGGAAAAAATTGAAGAGTACTTAAGTATGGTGCTAAGAGTCAAAGTGCCAGAAGAAAGAGCGCGAGAGGAGGCCTGGCTTGCCACCGTTTTGAACGGGACTGTGGTTGCCCTGTTCTCCCACCTCATTTTGAGTCTCAAGTCCTGCGCTGACACCGTTTGCCCTTGCTACCCCCTCCAATTTCTCCCTTAGCAAGGAGGATCCGGGCACTGCGGCTCCTCCTCCCGGCCCTACCTGGCAGGCGTCCACGCCGCCCGTCAGGATCCCCACGCACATCATGCGCGGCGTGAGCTGGTCCTTCAGCAGCTCGTTACACACGGTCTGGTTGATGAGCCGGATTTCTGCTTTCTGCAGGACGGAGGCCCCGCTGCCTGCCAGGAGGGAAGGGCCGTGGAAGTAAAAGCGAGCAGCGTTGTGAGGGAATCTCGTTTGATTCCGGTCTCGACGCAAGCTACTACACTGTGTCCAGGCAGCCCCCCCCCCCCCCCGGCCTTTTCCCTAAAGCCACACGCGAAAATACATCGAGAGGACCCCAAATTCACAAGCTCACCTCCTTCCAGGGTGGCTCCCCACCCCGTCACCCACAGGTCCTTGCCCACGGGGAAGTTGTGGGTGGCAGCGGGCAGGCAGATGGGCTGGACGACGGAGGAGAAGGTGACGGGGCTCTGCAGCTCCATCACGGCGATGTCGTAGTCGTAGGTGTAGTCGTTGAAGAAAGGGTGGGAGATGATGCGCTTGATTTTCCGGGTCTGCACGTTGGCCTCGTTGAGGTTGCCCTGGTTGGTCAGGCCCAGGTAGGCTGTCCACAGGCTGGGGTCCGAGTACCTGCACGAGTCACGAACCACCAGGCAGGGTGAGGCCCCAGCTCACGGGCTGCACCGCTCACTGTCTTAACCCATTCCCTTGAGAAACGCCTGTAAAAATCCCTTTTTTTTTTTTTTCCCCCCTCTTCCACCTGCCCGAAAAGGGGGCCCCCCCACCTACCTGATGCCCTGCAGCTGCAGGAAGCAATGCGCCGCCGACACCAGCCAGCTCCTCGAGACCAGCGAGGCCCCGCAGATGTGGCCCTGGCCCTTGACGTGGAGGCTGACCTGCCACGGCCACTCGCCCACCTCCGAGTTTTGCCCGCCGACGATCCGCGACTTCCTCGTGTAGGAGCGGATCCCGCAGTCTGGGGAGGGGAGGGAAGGGAGGAGAAGGGGCCCCGGGTATCCCTTGGGGATATCTCCCGTAGCACAAGTGCCCCGGCACGGGAGCGAAAACGCTCAAGTTGCTAAAATACCGACTGGCCGAGTGTGTAAATGCACAGAGAAAAACCCCTGTATCGCCTCTTAGACACGCCACAAGCCGCTAAAGAACACGGCTGTGTTCAGATCAAGCCATCACACAGAAAAACCCAGGGGCTCGCTCTGCCAAACCCCCCCCCGCCCCCAAAGTGTTTCTCGAAGAGCCCCAGCCCCGAAACCTGTGCCCTGCTCCCCTCCCTCCATCCCCCGGGTACTCACCGCAGTTGTCCTCGTCAGAATTGTCTTCACAGTCCCGCTCCCCGTCGCACTCGGGGTTCTGTTTGCTGATGCAGCTCCCGCTGCGGCACTTGTAGGTGTGCTCCTTGCAGGGGACCGTTGCGGGGACGGCTGCAGGCAGGACCAAGGGAGAGGGCTCAGCGCCAGTTTGGGGGGGAGGTCGCACCCTTCAGGAACCCTTCCCAGCCCCAGGATGCCGCCACCCCCCCAGAATAAAATAAAAAAAATGGAAGCCACCAGGAAATCTCTCAAGGGGGATTTGGGATTTTTCCACCTTCAGGTTTGCTGCAGCTGCCCTCGTCGCTGCCGTCCCCGCAGTCGTCCCGGCCGTCACACTTCTGCCCCTCGGGGATGCACTTCCCGCTGCTGCACTTGAAGGTGTCGGCGGCGCAGCCTGGGGAGAAGAGCAGCCTCTGAGGGGCACGAATCCCACCCCGCCGCCCGCGCTCGGCCTCCCTCCGGCCCCCAGCCCCCAGCCCTTGCCCGCCCGCGGGGCGAGTTCACTCACTGCACTGCAGCTCGTCGCTGTTGTCGCCGCAGTCGTTCACGTTGTCACAGACCCAGAATTTGGGCTTGCACCAGCCGTTCTGGCACCTGAACTGCTGCTCGGTGCAGGCTGAAGAGGGGAAAAGGGAGAAATCGGGCACCCACCGCAGCATCGCGGGCAGAGCTCTCCCAGCGGGTGTGCAATTCCAGACCCTTCTCAATAACGGCGGCCGGGATATAAACATATAAATAGCAAAACACCTCCCCAGCTGGGAAGGACTGAGAGAGATCCCACTGGGAAAAGTCTAGACTAGGAGGAACCCAGAGCTCCTACGCTGGGAGACTGATCCTCAGGCCGCTGCAGCCCGGAGGAGCGAGGCAGCGGTGGTGGGAGCCAGCAAAGCCGCGGCGCTGAGGTGTGTTACCCAGACCGAGCCCACAGCAAACACCCACAGCTCCCCCCCCGCCCCGGGGACGAGGCAAAGAGGAAAGGGAGGACAGACTCACTGCAGGATCTCTCGTCGCTGCCGTCGACGCAGTCCAGCCACCCGTCGCAGCGCATGCTCCTGTCGATGCAGCGGCCGGTGGCGCAGGTAAATTTGCCAGGGCAGGCTGAGAAAGGGATAAAACAACGTGTCAGCCCGCCGGCCGCCCCCTCCCGCCTCCCTCCCCCGAAGCAAACGACGTTTCCCTGTGCCCGCGTCCAGCATTAGAAACCCCTTTTCCCCAGAACACGGCGGGAGGGTTGCAGGGAAATAAAACATTCCCCCATTCGCCCCCAAAAAGCGCGCTTCCCAATTTACAGGGGGGGGCAGCGTGAGCGCAGAGCAGGGCCGGCCTCCGGCCCTCGGGTGAATCAGCTCCCCCCCCGCAGCCTCAGCGTTTCCACTCACGATCGCTGGAGTCGTAGGACAGGTACTCGGCGGAGAAGCCAGTGTCTGTGTAGGACTGGTCTGAGTGGAACCGGACTTCTATTTTGTTGGTAGTACTGGCCACCACAAACTGGGAACGCTCCCCGCAGTACCTGCGGGGAGAGCGAAGGTGAAGGGCGTGCCGTGGATCGGCGCTGAGCGAGCCTCCTTCCAGCCCCCCCAAGTCCCCGTCAGCCCAGCGGGTCCCTTCACACAAGCGACGGAGCCGAGGGGGCAGGAGGACCGAGCGGGTCGCACGCCGCCGGCCCTCGGGGTCCGCACGCAGGAGCCCAATTTTTGCTGCCGTCGGCAGAAGGTCTGAGCCAGCTGCCAACACCAAGCTGTGACCTCGGGAGGGGGGTCATCCAAATCCCTGCCCGGCGCGGCGACGTCCCTGAGCTCGGCTTCTGGGTTCGTGGAGCCTCTAAAAGCCGCAGGATCCCGTCCCACCGCGGGGATCACAAATCTCTTTTTGAGGACGGGTCAGCTCCCTCGCCCGAAATGTTGCGAAGCAATGCTGCCCGCCTCCCCCATGCAGCACCGGGTTGGCTCTTTGGCGCAGCCTGCATTCGGCTGTGTAACAGCCCACAGCAAGTGTCACAGTAGATGCCTCACAGAACGCAGCGCCATTCCCCCGACCATGGAGATTTGCTCATTCAAGCAAACCCACGCCAGATGTTGCCGCTTTTCCGCGCGTGACGCGATGTTCCGCGGCGTTTGGGGAGGGGCTGCGGCCGCAGCGTGCAACAAACCCCGGGTCCAATCCCCAGAACCAAGCCTGCTGCTCCCCCCTTCCTGCTGGGGGGGGGGGGCATCGAGCTACAGGAGCAAGTCGGAGCCCAGCACCCTCCTGCCTCCTCCGAGCCCAAAAAGCACCGGCACGCTTGTTCCCACAGCAAATTTAAGGAAAGCAGGAGGTGCCGTGATAACCGAACGCAGCCCCCGACACCCACCTCGTGCTGTTGATCTGCACGTAGTCCTTGGTGCAGGAGCTGACCGGGATCCCGGGCTCCAGCACAAAGAACGTGTTGAAACGCACCTTCACGTTCTTCTTAGAGGGGACCTGCGAAGGGAAGCGGAGTCGGCGGCATGTTGTTTTCTGGAGCACAGAAAACGGGAGCGAGTTTTATGGGGAAAGGGTTTGGGAGGAGGAAGGAAGATAACTGGAAAAGGAAAGGCGGCCAGCAGAAAAAGAAACACCTTCCTGAAAAGCCATTCTGGCTCTCGCTGATCACTGAGAGAGTCGCTTGGCTTGCTGACCCCAGAACCCCAGACCAAGCAAGCACACAGCCCGCGCTGTGACCGAGGTCGGGCTTCAACCCCCACGCTGTTCCACCCCCCCACCCCCCCCCAGGTCTTGCCAGCAAGCCACAAAAAGCCCGCGTGCTCCGGTGCTTTTTGCATAAAATTACAGTTATTGGGGGCTACGGTAAATGTCACACGGGGTTCAGGCCTCCCGCAGCCTCTTCTGCCCTTGGCACCAGCTCCTAAAGTCACGCCGGAGTGTTCTGCATAAGCAAGTTAATTTGACAGACTAATTAAGGTGAAGAGAGGGCCTCGCCTTACCTCGATGTTCCAGACACAGTCCATGGCTGGGGCGTAGTGTGCCGGGTAATAGGGAGTCGTGAAGGTGCCGCTCTCCCCCCGCAGAGTGCCGCCACAGGCTGGAAGGTAAGCAGGAAGATGAAAATAGGTCCGAGATTCAAAGAGACGTGGTTTTCCCGAGCCTCGGCTGGCTATCGCCCCAGGCAGATGCAACAGTCTCTAACAAGGTTAAGTCCATCTCTGGAGAGAGCAGCTCTGCTCCAAGGCTTGGAGAGAACCCAGGAGATCAATTAGGTGCTTCCTGCCTGCATCAATCTGCATGTCTAATCCCAACGTCATTCTGGTTTTGCCCTCCTCAGGGGACATCATTACAGCAGCCCAGAGCGCCGTGGGCAAGGCAAGCTCCAAGAGCCGTGATGTGACCTGCTTCCAGGTCTCCCGGCCCTGGAAACATCCCTGGCAAACCGACTGCAGCCGCGGCTGCCGGCGGCAGGGAGAGGGGAGGGGGGAACCAGGCCAGGGCCTCGGCTCACCTTTCATCTTGGGGAGCTGGAAGAACTCAGCTTTGAAGCCGGGGAATCTCCCCTCCTTGTTGGTAACCAGCGTGACGAGCATGACGTTCTGGGAGGACAGAAAGGTCAGGTTGTAGGAAGGGGCGTAACTCCCACAGAGCCTAGGAAGTAAAGGACAAAACCCGTTAGACACAAGTACGCAGAGAGCCTCGAGCAGCACGGATCACCTCCGAGCAGGGACGGGAGCTCAGTTACCAGCAGGACGTCCTAGTGTCACCCTGTCGCCTCAGGCCAGGACCCGGTGCCACGCAGGAACCCCCACGGGGACACTCACCTGACCAAAGCGTGGGGCTCCACGGGGCTCAGAGAGTTGTACACCTTGATGTAGTCACTGTCATCCGTGCACTGCTCCAGCTCCAGCGTCTTGAAGGTCAGGCTGATGATGGAGTTGGCATCTGCCCTCAGGGCCCAGTAGCAGAGCGCGTTGTTGGGGTACGGGCTGTTGGGGAAGCCCGGCGTGGTGAAACTGGTGACCTCCCCTTCCTTGGCGTGGAGGGCAAACATGCAGCTATCTGCCCAGGAGAGCAGGGGAGAGTTAAGGAGGCAAAGTTCCTTGAGATGCAGAGCATTCTTGCTTATCTCACTCCACCTGCAAGGCGAGGCACTGGGGAGGGCCAGCGCTACAGAAGGGCAAGGCCTGTGCTGACCCCAAACCAGCTCCAAGGAGCACGTGGAGCACCTGCTACTCAGGCTCTTCCTCACCCCGCAAAGGAAACTGCCGCCCCAAAGAGCTCTGGGGATGCAGGGAGGAGGCTCTTATGAGACTGAAGAGCTGTACTTACTGTTCCGAGCGGAGTGAGCTATGCTGGGGTCGGCAGCTGCAGGAGAGAACAGAGGAGGTGTCATCTTTGGGCCGTGGAAAGTCCCTGGGCGCAAAGCTGAAGAGGTCCCTGGGATTTGGCCTTGTCCCCGCAAGCTGGCCAGGGGCAGGCTGCTCCCCCCTGGGCGCTGGGGAGCTGAGAGATCAAGCTTTTCCTCGGCAGGAGGGAGGATTCAGCCCTGTCCCTCCGCAGAGGGGCTCAGAGGAGAACACCGAGCGTTTGAGCCAAGAGGTCTGCGTGGCCCATCCAGGCAGCGCGGTGAGAGCCAGGTCCTCACACTCACCCTCAAAGCCGTCCCCCAAGGGAGGGCTGTGACCCGCAGGTTCCCCCTCCAGAGAAACGTGTTTGTGTGTGTGTGTCCCCCTCCCCTGCCCTCCCCTCCCCAATTCTCACACAGAGGCCCAGGGATGGCGGAGCCAGCACTCACGGAAAGCGATGACCGACTCCACCTTCAGCATGGGGTTTCGCAGGCGGGGGTTCCAGCGCTGGGCCAGGCTCTGCTTGTCTGCCATCGCCCTGTCCAGGTTCTCCTCCCGGTACTTGGGGACGAGGAAGTCCGACCAGTAGTAGGCAATGACACTGCCTTCACTGCAGAGCAAGGGCAGATGCAGGAGGGCTCAAGGATCAGTAGAAGAAGGGGCCGGGCGACTTGATGAGCCATTTTGGGCGGGTAGCCATGGGGAAGGGAGAGTCTCAGCGAGAAGTTAAGCAAACTGTGCCCAGCAAAGGCCCCCCCGCCAGCCCGGGGAGTCCCTTTCAAAGCTGCCAGGCACCACTCGCTGCAGTTCACTGGGCTCTACTGCACCATACCTTGATTTTTCCCCCTCAGCATGCAGTAATGAGGACTGGCAGAAAACATTACGGATTTTCAGGTCGCCTTTCACTGCCCACCCTTTCCCATGTTGGTCCGAGTGACCACTGAGGTGCCTCCCTCCCCAGCAGCCCGGGGAACGAGGGTATTACAGCTGTGTGACAGCCCAACATCACCCTCCTCGCCCCCAGACAGGGCTCAGACAGCACCTAACGCTCACCTGAACGCAGTTATCACTGTCTCTTTGTGGTAAGGGCCAATGTCTGCGTGATTCCTGTAGATCTCCTCCACCTGAAAAGTTTAAAGAACGGTGTTTCAGGACTTCTGGAAGTGAGGAGGGGGGGAAAGGCTAAAGACAGACAGAGCTTCCAGCCTGCTATGGAAAATTAGGGCACATACCCGGCATCCCTGGCTGCAGGAACCTGCAGGGCCCAAAGAGAGGAAGAGGGAGAGCTGAGAGTCCCAGAAGTGCCCAGACCTGCACACCACAGCCCGCTCTGCCTCAGCTCACCCCGCTCTTCCCCGGGGGAAGCGCAACGAAAACCTGAGTCCGAGAGGAAAGGCAAGACCAGCCACGGCTTCAGCACAGAAGGCAGCCGCCCTCCTGCCTCAGCTCCCGGCCCCGACTCATCCGCCGACCCTGGGATGTGCCCAGGCAGCCTCCTGCAGCACACGCTGGGTTGCAGAGGCAGGGAGACGCCGTGGCGCCGGGCTGGAGCCGCGACGCCAAGGCTCAGCTGAAAGGCAGGTTCCCTGCACCCAGCCCAGAGCGTCCCGGCGAGCGGAGAGAGAACCGAGAAGGCTCCAAGCAGTCTTACATGCAAGATCCCCGTGGCCACGGCGGGCAAGAGGAAAAAGCCCTCCCCGCAGGAGGAGGGATGCAAGAAACCTCTTACCGTGCTCTTCACCTTCTTGGCCAGCATGACGAACTCCGGCGAGCTGGAGTTCTCATAAGCATCAAGGAAGTCCCAGTTCAGGACCCGCAAGTGGCCGTTGAAGACCTTCCGGACGGCCACGTTCCTGTCTGGAAGGTCAGAGTCAGAAAGGGCAGTCAGGGCCGGGACCGTGGCACGGCAGGTCCCCAGTGACAGCAGTCGGGGCAGGGGGTTGGAAATGGGGGGGGTGGGTGTGTGTGTCCCCACCCCGCCACATCCTGGAGCCTTCCCAGCGCTAGAGAGTGCGAGCAATATGGGATAACGAAGCTTTTTCCATGTGGATACGCTCCCGGGGTATCACCCTACACACGCCACCTCCCACCAGACGTCACACTCACATCTGAAGTGCCAGACCAGGAGCCCGGTGACGAGGGAGATGAGCAGAAAAACAACGATCGTGACGGAGACGACCACCCGCCGCTTTGGGCCGTGCTTCTCCATCTTCTTGGAGTTCATGGCAGGCAGGAACTCCACCCCTTCCTCCAGGTTGTTCATCTCCTGGGAGAGGAAAGAAGGCAGGACGGTGGCAAAGCCTGGTTTGGAGAGGTCCAACCACAAAGCAGTCTAGAGCAGAGCTACCTGTCCGTGGCAGCTCCGCAGCCGCCCCACGGCAGGACGAACCCTGAAGGCTTTTGCTTTGCTTTTCTGCACACACCTAATTCCTTTTTGGACCTAATACAAGGTCATCAGCTCAAGCAAACTTGGGGCGAGTCCACACACACACCCCCCTCCCGTGAACCACGGCAGGTCACAAGCTCAAAACCTCCAAGATATCTGCCTGCCAGCAGATGAAACTGCAGACAAAAATCCACCTCTGCAAAGCACTCGCTGTGTGGCAGGTGTGTCACCCGCAGCTCGTGGGGCACAGCACACGATAAATACCATTCCTGTAAAAGAAGAAACCAAGCTGCTTCCTTCCTTTACATCTGCACAACTTGCTGGGCCAACACAGCGCTCCTGCTGGGCTTTCCCATTTGGGACGAATACCAGTTCAAAGAAATAAACCAAAAAACTAAGAGGAGCGCACAAGACATCCCCAGATGCCAGACTCTCGGGACAAGACGAACGAAGAGCAGGAATGAGGAACAAGACCCGGAGCACTCGGCTCTCCCTGCTGTCGCCGCCCCACGCTGGGCTGGGTGATGAAGAGGAAGGTCTGGGTGGCAGGGCAGAGCCCTGCACCAGCTGCAAAACCCTCGGTGCCCCTGGGTTTCACTTTCTCACACTTTTGGCTCACCTGCCTGCCGTCCTTGCCCTGCTCAGTCCTTGCCCTGCTCATGTACCTGCACCTCCAGCCCTGGGGAAAAACCAGAACGGCTGCAGACCCAGATGTTTTCAGAGGGGGCCACGCAGCGCAGAGCATCCTCGGTAGAGGGGGATGTTGGGGGGGCCCGGATCCGCACCCCCTACCCTCACACTTCTTCTCCTCCCCAGAGCTGGGAGAGCACCTTCCGCTTTTCTTTCGCGCCTCCCTCACGTGGGGAGGGGCTCTCTGCCTCCTGCAAACTGCCCAGATCGTGGGGGGATGCCTCAAATCTCCGCTCACCCTCTTCCCGTTTTCCCCTCTCCCGAGCCTTTCCGGCCATCTGGCAGTTTCCTGGGCTCCGGACGACAGCAAGGACACCACGCAAAGCGCCGACTCGCACAAATTCGCTGCGTTCAAACGCGTCCCTGCGCTCCGGATATACCGCGACGTCGCCCCCGCAAACATCACGCCGGGTCAGACGCTGCCTGTCCTCCCTCTCAGCCCGGGGCTGACGCAAACGGACGCCGAACAGCTCGGGTTAAGTGGGATGCAAACGTCACGAGCCCCTAAAAGCCAGGGAAAAACCCCCAGCAAAGGGGATCCTGTTGTCAGAGGGACCCTGGAGCCCCCCGAGCTCTCGGGCGATGAGCCGTCCTCGCTGTGCTTGGCTGCGGCGGTGCAATGGCTCCGCTGCCTTATCCTTCCCAAGGCTCGCTCTGCAGGGGAGCCCAGCGCCCACGTGCATCCTTCCCCCACTCCTTTTGCCCTTTTCTTCACCCAATCTCTGTCCTCCCACCCTCCGAACCTCTCCCCCCTGTGATATTTGCCCGAGGCCCTTTACAAAAGAAAGGGACGTGGCAGGCACCTTACCCTACATTTTTGTAAAGGACTCTCTAAGTTTAATCCTCGGCAAACACTTACTAGAAGGCCACCAACACCAGAGTTTTTGCAGCATCTGCTCTCAGAATAATCTGAGTTTATCATTTGACAGCTCTCCGCTACGGCACGTGGAAGAAAGCTTTCATTCATTTGTGAGATTTAGCGCCTAAGGTCAGACAGAAAGAAACCAACTCTGAGGTGCCAGGCTGTTTCTGTCACCAACGTCCAGCCACCACCAGAAGAAACTAAAGACCCAGCAGAGCCAGAGAGGACAATCCCACGGGGGATGCTCTGATTCCCGTTCGGCTTCCACAATCACACAGAAAAAACTTGAAAACGTAACCCAAGGAAACTTCAAAACCGAAAACACACAAAATAAAGCTTAAATACAGCAAGACATCCTAAATGAAGAAACTCTTCAATCAAAGTCAAGGTTGTCTGGAGTTTGATGTGCTGTCTTCGAAGCAGCCATCTGGCTCCCATCAGTTTCCAGATCATCCAAGAAATACCCCCGAACCAGGTAAAGAGAAGAAATAAATCTCGCAAGCCTCTCCCTTCTCCCACCGTGGGGCTTCCCAGGACTTCCAACACCGCACTGCTGTTAGCAGAAAGAGAAGTATTTAATTCTCTTCCTGCAGGAGCCTGTGGCAAGAACACAACCTCAGGGGCTTAAAATGAGATATGTGTTCACACAGCAGCAGCTTTCCCAAACTTCTTGGGGTCAGTGAGGAAGAGCCGCCTGCCCCCAGCTCGTAGGGGGATGACAGCAACGCTGTGCCTTCCGAGTAATAATTTGGGGGGACAAGCTGTTAAATCTTGGCCTTAATAACACACTCCCCCGGCAGGCTGAATTCAACCAGATGGCATTTTTTTCCCTGAAAGAGGGATCGCACACGCCTCGCACGAGAGGCGTAACGATACAGGGGGGTGGTAGCAGCAGCAAAACAGCACAATGAAATCGGGTCCCCTCTAGCTACTGGGAGAGCCAAAAAAAAAAAAAAAAAAATCTCCTGTTTTCAAATAGTATACCCTTTCGCTGAGGGTACCTTCAGCCCTCTGCAAAACTCCCCAAAATTCGATTTTATCAAAGTGCCAGAAAAAAGTGAGGCTTGGCTGCAAGCACGAGATGCTGCTGTACAAGGCCAGTCTGCACAACACCGTGGCTGATGCATTTTAACACCCTCTTCAAGCTAAAGGTTGTGTTTTTGCAGAGAGGAAAGTCTTAAGATGGGAGTAACTAATCAGTGTGATTAAACGAGAAGGAAAATACAGCCCACCTCCACCTCCAACCCATACAAAATACATGCTCGGCTCCAGCGGCTGCAGTGTGACCTAATGAAGTCCAACAAGGAAACTCACCAGCTGATCTTCCTTTAGACAATTTCTCTGCTGCTCTTAGGAAAAAGGATGAAAGATCTTAAATCTGCGAGAGTTTACAACACACCTTTGTCAGTCTGTTCTTGCTCCAAAGCTGAGACGGCAGTGATGCCCGCAGCACCAGGAGAAATTAAAGGAGGGGGGGGGGGGGGCTCCTAGGGAGGTTATTTTTTGTTATTTCTCCTGTACAAGGTGCATAAGCAGCACTGACACTGGTACTTGCTGGAAGTTACCCACTGATTAAAGGCAGATAGGAGGCTGGATCCAAAGAGGTTTCCCTCCCTGCCTTCTGTTTTATATTCCAGATCTCTTCCTCTCCCATCCTGGCGCCGTTACACCGTTCCATTCCCCAGCCAACCCTGACACTTGCGTGAAGCTGCTTTGAAGAGCCGTCGCGTGTCGCAGCCGGGTAAGCCACAGCGATCCCTGCAAACTCTCTTCTCAGTACAATGCAAAGGATCTGAAGCATCCCCCAAGCACTACAGGAATGCTGACTCAGGCCGTGCCGGGAAGGGGCCCCGTGTCCTGACCTCTGAGTAAGAGGCTGAATCTTCCCTGCCCACACTCAGCACGAAAAGCGCCCGTTTGACCCGAGCAGCAGACTCGCCTGTGCCCAAAGAGCTTGGCTCAGCCTCTGCTCCACTCCCTCACTCTGCTCCTTCACTTCCACTCCTGCCCACCGGGGAGAAATACCTCCCCTGGGTGCTGGCCACCGTCCTCTAAGCTAGCCAGAAACCAGATGGAAACAAAAGCAAGGCAGGCTCAAAAGATCATAGTTAAATCAAGCAAAAGACGATGGCAATTTTAATCTCCTTTAGCTAACGGCCGCTGCACATTTCCCTCGCAGGTACTGAACAGTCCAACGCAACAGCAGGTGGAAACCAGAGAAGATCTGAAGGCACGTCCTGCTCTCACCTTGTCCGTGATCCCCTGAGAAACCATCTCTAGCCCAAAGTGACTCACGGTCTGACTCTCTCACCCTTCTCGAGGAAACTACTCCAACAAACATCACGAACAGAAAAACCTTCCTTGATATTCCCTCCACCTGAGTCACAGGTTCAGGTACTTCCTCCTGCTCCTCTCCTGGCTCAGCCCTCGCCGTCACCTCGGGGCTCCCCACGGCGGGGTCGGAGGTTCCTGGTGGCTGCTGCAGGGCCCTGGCAGGAACGCCGCGTGCCAGCCAAGAGAAAGGGGCGGAAAGACATCGCCCCACTTCTTCCACGCCTCAGTTTCCCCTGGAGAACAGGCTCCAGGAGGAAACTTGGAAAAGGAGCGCGTGGAGAGAGATTTACACGGCTCTTGGGGGTCTCCTGCACGCCAGCTCCTCCGTGCAGAGGGCTCAGAGAGAAGTCCTGTGCGTAAGCAAACCTCCCCACTCCTCCTCCGTAAGCCAGCCGCAAGATGTATTTTTAGACAGCAACCGTACTCTGCCAGACTGGACAAACCAGATGCAGAAGTGACTAATTCTGTCAGCAGGAAATTCAGTAGGCACGCAGGGCTGGCCGGCAGCTGCCACAGTCGACACTGGACTGAAGGTGCTTACCGGAAAGCGGCGATATCTCCTGCAACGGGCGCTGGCAGAAAGGCTAGGACGTGCCACAGGGCAGGGCAAGAGTTCTGGGACGCGTACAAAGGGCCCACCTGGGATCAGCATCTCCCGCAGAGGCCGGTTTCTGGCTTGTTTGGTGGTTCCAGCAAGGCACCGTGACATGTCCTGGGCACCAAAGCCCCGACCGCTCCCCTCTCAGCGCTCCATCTCTCACTCAGTGCCTGCTTCTGGTTTGCTGGACCCTGACCCACAGAAGGACGGGGGGGGGTGTTCCTTATCGCCACTGATTAATTTGTTTGTCCAGCACAAGGCAGCTGTGAGATCCCGGTGCTTCCCTTGGTGTTTATCACATTTCAGGCTCAGCTGGTCTGCCACAGCACTGCTCGGGGGCAAAGCTGTACAGGTCACAGAGGTAAGAGCAGGTATGCAACCAACTGCAGTCTCACT